ATTCAGGATCAGAACTTTTGAATGGTCTTGTGGCGAGAGACAGCTGCGTAGAGAGAACTGCACACGTCTCCTGATTCTTCCACATAGAGCGGTGAACTGAAAACCGGCTGAAAGGCAAGGTAGTTTATGCAGTACACTGACCACTGCTTCCACGGTTACTTTTCGATGGACAGTAGTTGAAAACTCGTTCCGTTCATGCCGCCCGTCTCGACCTGCTCTGTGTTGGCGAACATGCCAATTTAGATAGATCATCCTATTAGCAAGTGTGGATAGCCGGCAGTAACATTACCACACATGCGCAATCGCACAACAAAATACCGCAATACAAAATTATAGCAAAGCACCGACATAACACCGTTGGACACGATATTAGTTGGTATACTAACTGGAATAATGCAAATGGTAGTCTCAGCAGGGTGCACATGAGATGTAGATTTACAAAATCCTTAAACATGCGCTGCGCAATTGACAACTTTGGTGCATTCTGTAAAATTTATAACACAGGGATTTCAGCTGCAATAATGCAGACACACCAGCAGATGGCAATGAACAAGAGCAAGGAGTAATTCAAGCATGGGAAGATGAGAATAGCTAGCCCAACACACTATATATCTAAGTGTACATGCATATATTCGTGGGAAACCAAAATAGTAACCTCTATATTGAGTATTTGAACTGAATAAACTTTCCGTGCCATTAAAATGAGTAGTTCATTTTCAGGCCTTAGTTTTCAAGGAATTGGATTTGCGGATTTGGACTAGTTTAATTCCGAATATCGCTACTGCTTTTGAACTCGCGGCCATCTAAGCGGAACAAACCAAACGCGAGCACCAATAGGCTGCGATTGCAAACGACCAGCGTTTTTGTCGTTAGCTGCTATGCGAAGACACTTCAAACAATAAACAGGCTTACGTTTATTAAATCGAAGGAAAATCAATAATTCACAACAATATGATGATTTCTACATGATCAAGAAACCATCGTGTTTCATACCATTCGTTTAACCCAAAAGTTGTTCGTCGTGAACAGCTGACAGCCAAATGTCAAAGACAGTAGCGATTAAGATAGACACCATCACCACTTCATACGAACGTATTTCCGGAAGCACAGACAAAGCCCGAATCAAACAGCTGGCCCGAATCACAATAAAAGTTCACATACAGAAAGCCGTTTTTAAGCAAAAATCAAATCTCGTTTGTACGTAATCAACCTCTTCGAAAAGCAACAGTATCATCGCATCGTATTTAAATAAGCTATGTACACGAAAATCTTCGTCTAGTATTTAACAATGATGTAACAGGCGTAAATCAGTCCGGGAATGTAACCAAGCAACGTCAGCAAAATGCAGATCGCAAATTCATGGCCACATCCCTTTTCCATGAAAACTCCGACGGGCTAAAACGAAAACAGGCATACAATCGTTCAGAACAGGAAACCTCATACAATGAAATCTGAAACCAGCTCAGCATTGCACCCATGAACGAGAGCAGCCGCTTCTGCAAATACTGCATCCCAATAAACTTAACTCTGATTCGAAGGTTTAGCACTTAACCAATAATAAAACTCTGGCATATTATGTTGCGCTTTTAATGTAGGACACTTCGCAATCAATGACATTAGTGAAGTCAAATTTACAACTGCATTGGGTGGTGACTACTTTCCGCCTAGTTGCGTGATAAATCTATAATCAGTGAAATCAGCAATTAATTTTCAGTGATTATGGACGAACGGGTCAAAAAAGTTAACGACCAAAATTGACCATGAGAAGAAAAAGTCTGTATAGATGGCAACGGAGC